TGCATTGCAAATCAATTTATAAAACTTGTTAATGGTTCACTGGAATTTCAGGAATTTCTCTTTTCTTTTGTTTAATTCCCTGTTTGGACTGTTCCTGTGAAGTCCAAGATGTTCAGAGTAGGCATCCTGGTGAATATTAGAAAGAACACCATCCTCTTCCCTATGATATAAACATGGATGCTGAAGAGCCCAGAAGTGGGAAAAATCTCACTTGTGACAGGTAACAAAATGACTGTAGTAAAAAAACCAGCATGTCAAGTTGAGGTGAAAATTTTCACATACTGAACAAAAGGATATCCATTTTCATGATGGCGAGTTGCAAGTAACAGAAATTCAAGACATCTGGTGTTTTACCCTAGAGCAACCCACCCTCAGCACATTCAATAAACTCAAGATGACAAGAAAACTAAATACATAAATGCATCATGCCAGACATTTTCAAAGCAATTAAACCACATTCTTACCTGAAATGCTGAATTAACTTACCATTACCTTCCCTGCTACTTTAACAAAAACAAGTTCTAATTCCTAAAGCTCACCAAGGTCTGTAGAACTGTTTCAGGAATTAATGGCTCTGAAGCGTCACCATTTTTGAAAGAGAAAAATTTTCACTGCCAAAACCAAGTACCTGCAGGTGACAATACAATTCTCAAAATTAGTTTGTCATTGTGTCTCTGGGCACGCTTTCAAGTATACCACATATAATTGATGATATCAGCTAAAAGGAATGTTTCCTTACACTTCATCTGCACAGCTTCTCACTGCACTACACAGAAGAATTCCAAGTGAACCAACAATATAGCTGTCAGATAAGCTGTAAGAGGTATGAAGAATGCAAGTAGGACCAGATTTCACTACTCAGTGTTCACTTCTTCATGTACCATGATAGAGGAAAATAAATAATCTTCATTTGCGTCAGAGACCACTTTGCTCAGAATCACAACATTAAGATTACTCCAATACAGCATATCCTACATCGTCATCATTGTGACATCTTTCTATCTGATCCTTACAGATTTATCTTTACAGATTTTTTTATTGTTAGGAAAATAAATATTAATGTTTAATTCTTTGATTAAAGTCTTCATTCTTGCTGTTCAATCTTATGGAAAACAAGAACACAGTATTACACCTTGGCAGGAGCCTTTGCAGTATTTGACAATTTACATTCCAGTCTACTTATCTCTAAGCTAAACATCTTCAAGCTGTTGTCTGGTTAGCTGGTAGTTAAGGCTTCCTTGAGATCCGTTGAGGGAAGAGCCATTCCCCCATTTGTCAAAATGGTTTTGAATTCCACCTGATAACCCAGTACACTTGTAGCCATTCCTAAATTAGTGACATTGGGAAATTCACCATCTTTTAGAACAGTTTGCAGATTTATCTCCTAACCCCTGTGTTGGGATTCACTTCTGTTTGTATAATCCTGAAATAAATAAGACCTCTTTGAGAATGCAATTTGGGCTACAAAGATGAAAAAAAGAGAAATATTTGTGCGAAACAGCTAAGTAGCATTGACTAGCCTCCTAGAAACTGTAATTTTACTTGGAATGAACACAGATGTTACCTAAACAATAAATAGGTGCCCCAATAAACTCAACTGATAGGTTTATGAGTGTATATTCAGATGTTAAGCTTCCTGAATTGTCTTCTTGGGAAAAATATAAATCAATATTACCATCTATTAACTATTTAAAGAAATCTGCCCAGGATATTTAGTCCTTTCCCAACTTTTAATACATTAAAAGTATCAGCGCTTAATCACATAATCATAGAATGGTTTGGAAGGGACCTTAAAGATCATCTAGTTCCAATCACTCAGCATCTAGAGCAAGATGTTCAAAGCCCCCCCCAGCCTTGTCTGGAACACTTCTAGGGATGGGGCATCCACAGCTTCTCTGGGCAACTTGTTCCAGTGCCTTACCATCCTTAATCACCTTAACTTCAATGCTTCTATTCCATGTTAAACGTTATTATGTCTCTATTATTTAAATTAATTATATGGCTATTTGCTAGTCTAAGCACTGATCCTCATTATCAATTGTTTTACCTATGAAATTAATGTCTTTATCACTAAAGAAGTCTAGTAATACACCTGCCTTAGTTCATCTATTATTTCATCTAAATATGGTCACAAGTTTAAAAATCACTGATTTATAGATTTATACAGTTTGGGTTGTTGATGGAAAAATTACTGTTTTCTTAGTTACTGGAGAACCAAAGAAAGCAGGTTACTACAAATATGCATGTGGAAAGTTTCACTAGACACTAGGTTTGATTACCTACTGAGAACAAAATTAAATTCACAGAGAAATGTAAAGCCCTGTGTAATCTCAGCTAGAATATCATTTAAATGTTAATAATTAATTTTATACTTCATATTTAATGATAAAATATCTTATAAATCAGGGTCCTCATTCAGGAAAAATGAAAACAAATCATTAAATGAATTCATGAGGCTACGTAACAAAGTCAACAGAACCTAGAAATTTATGGATACTAAATTTTCAACAGGGTTTATGAAGGAAAATATTTCTAATGAGATTTTTTTAAGAATCTCCACAGGTTGGTAGAAACATTTCCCAACTGACACTTGGTGTTCCCAAAAATGTCCAAAGGGTGGAGACAGTCTATATATAATCTGTAGAATCCCTTAAAAACTTCTAGACCTAAATGTTTTCCTGATAAGATCATTGGAATTGAGCTCAAATTATAGACGAGAAAACATAAAAACAACGGTATTAAGGAGACATGAAAGCAGTACACAGAAATAGCCAAACCGGCTTTGAACAAAGTAATTTTAGAGATGAAAATCAAAAGCACTCTGCCATTCCCAAGCTAATTAACCTGCTGAGAGGCAGAAATAGTATCATAATACTGCAGTACAGGGGCTAAACCAGTATATCAGCATGTTATTTTGCTGAGGAGTCTGCTTGGTGCTGAGCTAGGAATTTCTGTAATGATGCTGCATTGCAAGTTCTGGATATGTGGTAACGTTCCAAATCTATGGGAGTGTCTCAGTTTAAGGAGACTGAAGTGTTTTGCTAAGGAGAATGAATTATGAAGTAGACCAAACTCCTCTCTCTCAGCAATTGTAAATCCGAAATTAAGAGGCTCCAATCAAGGAAGTATGGAAAAAGGAAGAAATAACAACCCTTTATTAAAGAATATATGTATATTGGCAAAAACACCAAAAGAACACAAAAAACAACTGAACAATAATCCTGTAACCAAAAGCCCTCTTCAAAACAGTTCGATACTTCTCTGTCCTCTGCCGCAATTCCAATCACGGTGGGCAGGAGCGCTGTTGGATCACTGGAGGAGCAGAGCCTGCAGTGCTCGGTGTCGGTCGGCAGGGGGCGCTGTTGGGCTCTGGTGGTCGCCGTGTGGGGGCCCCGGATCACGGGAGAAGCCGAAATGGAGATCACCCCCCACCGAGGAGAGGAAGGGGAAAAGGGGAAAGGAGGGTGGTTTATTTCCCACGAAACTCATGACGTCTGCAGCTCGCTGTGGTCATGACTCCCCCCTTTCCTCATCAAGCACAAACTCTCTGACGAAATTGGAGCAGGTCCAGCTGATGACAGAGCAGACCGTAGGCAAGACGAGGTCGGAGAACAGCCAGATGACCACGTCAAGAGCAAAATGGCCTCAAAGCTTTTCCAGCACACACCTTGCCCCCATTAAGGCAAAAAGTGAAGTGCCACTTTCCAAGGAGAGGAGGGGAGAAAAACTCCTCACTGCCACCCCCCTCCCCCAGCCTTAGAGAGGGCTATCAGCCTGGAATGTAGTTCTGCCAGCCAGCTCCTTTTTGTAGGTCAACTGTCCAACACAGAAAACTATCCTCCCCATTCAACATCCCTCCCCCATATTGCAGCAGGGGAAAGAAAATTCCCATTTAGATTTTTTTAGAGCAAGTAAACCCATGACAGGGAGGACCAGCATCAAAATTAGTTAATAAGCTTTCTGTGTTTTTAAATATTAAATTTTAAATTTTAAATATTAAATCATACATTATTATTTTTCTACCATTTAAAAGTCAACTGACAACATGTCTATGTGGCCTTTGTTATATTCTATTTTTCCTCTGAATGCAAGGTCAGAGAAAGATATTTTACTGCAAACAGAGAAACAAGTTTAATTGTACCATCTTTCTGTATTTAGTTCAAAAAATTATTATACAGTGAAGAATTAACAATAGAAAAGATATGCACACTGCAGCTAGTACTGATGTTTATGTTTAGAGTTTAAATATTCAACTCATAAATATAAAACTCAAAACATAAATATGTTCTCTTTTTAACATTACCTTATAACATTTCTTTAAACTTATAGAAACATAGAATATCCTGAGTTGAAAATGACCCACAAGGATCATCTAAGTCCTTGTGGCATTGTACAGGACACCACCAAGAATCCCACCATGTGCCTAGGAGTATTGTCCAAATGTTTCTTGAACTCTGTCAGGTTTCGTGCTGTTGCTGCTTCCCTGGGGAGCCTGTTCCACTGCCCAAACACCCTCTGGGTGAAAAACCTTCTCCTGATATCTAACCTAAATCTCCCCTGACACAGCTTCGGGCCATTTCCTCAAGTCCTGTCACTCATCATCAGAGAGAAGAGATCAGTACCTGCCTCTAGACTTCCCCTCAGTGAAGAAGATGCGGGCTGCAATGAGGTCTCCCCTTGGTCTCCCCTTCTCCAGGCTGAACAGACCAAGTGCTCTCAGCCACTCCTCATACAGCTTCTCCTCCAGTCCCTTCACCATCTACATTGCTCTCCTTTGGACACTCTCTAATAGATTAATGTCTTTTTATATTGTGGTGCCCAAAACTGCCACAATATTCAAGGTGAGGTCGCATCAGTGCAGAGCAGAGCAGGACAATCCCCTCCCTTGACTGGCTGGCAATGCTGTGCCTGATGCCCCCCAAGACATGGTTGGCCCTCCTGGCTGCCAGGGCACTGCTGACTCATGTTCAACTTGCCATCAACCAAGACCCCAGGTCCCTTTCCACAGCACTGTCTCCTAGCATCTCATTCCCCAGTCTGTCCATACATCCAGGGTTGCGCCATCCAAAGTGCAGAATTTGGAACTTGTCTTCATTGAACTTCATATGGTTGGTGATCTGCTATCTCTTTCTAATTTGTTAAGGTCTCTCTTCAGGGCCTCTCTGCCCTCCAGGATGTCAACAGCTCCTCCCAACTTAGTATCACCAGCAAACTTCTTAGTATCCCTTAATGACATTAATATTAATATATTAGCATTTCATTTCCATTTTTTATATTCATTGACATTTTTGTAAATACGTACTGCTTAAAGACTGATCAACAATGCTGTTAAATTCTCTATATTATAATTTGTCCTAAGCAAGATAAAAGAAAACAACATTGATTTGATCTACTAAAATGTTTTCTTAGTCATTTCTTTTATTTGAAGAAATTAAAGGAAGAGTGTGTATTTCTTTAAAAAGAAAAAAAGGCAGCTTGGCAATTTTTTTCTGTTTTATTATGAATCAGAAAAATACTGCAGGCTGTTTGTCTCATGATCCAAGTCTACTCTGAAGACAACAAACAAGTATACGAGATGGAAGTCCTGCTTTTTCGTTGTAGAAACACTGAAACAGAATGCCTCATTGCTCTTTTGAGTTGGATTTATACTTCATTTCATCAGGAGTTTTCTTTAGTACAACAGTGAACTATGATTCTGTGCCTCACCATCACACACTCTTCAGCATACAATCCACATCTGACTTTCCTGTCTCAAACACACTACTGTAACCCCTTCCAATAAACTGTTTAAAGAAACTATGTCAAATAAAGTTCTTAGTCTCTGCTCTAAACTCCTAGCAGCACATTTATCCGTATTGCATTAGTGGCAAACACTGGGCCTCAGTTCCTACCTCCTTGCCATCTCTACTCGCTACATGACAGGGCAACGTACAACCAATTTAAACTATTAAGATCCACAGAAGAACTTCAAGTGGAAGATACCAAGGGACAGACTTGACACTAGCATCCCACTGCCATTAAGGGCATCACATTCCGCTGCATCCTGCACAGCACACAGAGACCTTGCGTGGGCTCTTCTATGCAGCAGCACAGAGACCTTTACAATGCAGTCCAGCAGAGTGCCTGTCTTCTAAGACAGAAGAAGAGCAAAGAACCCAGGTTTTACAGATACAACTTAAACATAGCAAGGAATGGTTACTGGTCGCTAAGACCTACTCATCTACACTACTGAACTTTCTCTCTCTCAAAACAACACAGTTGGAAATGGACCTACCATAAACACACCTCAGTCTATTTACTCAGCCACGTATGTGGCTTTAGCCACACGTGTCTTTAGCATCACGTATGTGTCAAACTCCCCTCTACTTTTCATAAACACCACTCATCAGTATACCCTACGTGCATTTAATAATGTACTCCATGCCAAGCCCTATCAAAGTTTGTCACCTCTGTTGGGTACAAAACATCAAATACCGCTTCTGTGCATGAAAAAATCTAACTTTCCCAATGCTTTGCTTGTCTCAATTTTTACTAGACAGCTTGTGTTCTCAAGCCCTGCTGGCTACCCTCTTCTTTAATAGGAAGAAAACCTCCACACCCAGCAGGAGAGGAGGCCCTACTGTGGATCATTTCTAGCAGAAATTCTCCTTAGCTGATGCTGTCAGCCATGCAAAAGTGCCCAAGGGAGACTTATTTGAGACTTCTTAATAGCCTCTCACTGTCATAAATCACAATTCATAGTGCTGGTTGTTCCAGACACTTAGATAGTGTCTCCATTGTTCAAATCCCAAAATACAGCTCCTTATGAGTAAAGAATATAATTTTCACTCAAGTTAAGTGAAAAGGCCAGACGGCCACCAGGATACATTACATTAATGACAGAAGCAGAAGGACAAGGACAAGGACCTCTCAGGTTCTACATCTTGGCCCAGCATGGTCCTCAGGAGGAGGAAACATCTTAAAATCATACCCTATGGCTGAATCTTGGGAAGGTCTCCCAGCTGAAGATTCCAAGCCTCTCATAAAGGTGCAGACACATGTAGCCTGCCCTACTTGGTGTGTGGAAGTATCTGATCATCAGTCTTGGGCAAAGGGGGCAAGCCAATCTTGGCATAGCTAGTGATGGATGAAGAGATATCTAGCCAGACCCTGACTTCATTTCTCACTCGGTTTCTTGCAGACTGTAAGGAGGATGGTCACCTCCAACTTCCTCAATACCAAGACTCTGTTTCTTGCTTTCCAACTGTGGAAAATCAGCAAATTACATCACAGACCCTCATAAGAATGGTGTTTGTATAGTACAATGCCAAAAGTGCATCTGGCATGCCCTGGGGAACGGCAGAAGGCCTGCTGGGATGATTGTAGAGCCATGCTAGAAGGATCATGCCAAAGCAGCACAGCCTTATCTATTCCAGTAATTGTGAGAGCATTTTAACTGCCAAACCATATCCAGGGAGGGAGGTGGGCAGAGCTTTGGATGGCACAGGCCAAATTCATGCCAAGAAGCATTCTGATTGTGTATCAGTCCAGATGAATGTGAGCCAGTGCCAGAAAACATTAATGGCAGACTCAGAACCACTTGCACAGACACAATCATGACACACAAAAAATTTCCACCTAGACCCATCAGCCTTCTCTCGTATCCTCATATAAACTCACAGTCCTCGTGTTCCAAATTTCCTCTCCAGGCTCTTATTGCTTTGGTTCATTTCACACAAAGATTCCAGAATTTTTACAGGTAACATTTATCTAATTACATTACTTACCTAGGATTTCTCTTGTTCATGGCTTTTGTCCATTGATTTCTGCTAGTAGAGGTTCTGAGTTTGCAAGTCTTATTCTGATCTAATGATGTATTCTGATTTAAGAGATAACATTTATATTTTTTCTCCCCATGTAGAAACAGATTTTTAAAAAATTGAAGATGCAAATATATCTTTTTTCATTTTATTTGAAAGAGAAGTCAAAGGTGTACATGGAAGGACTAGGTAATTGATCATCTCTGCAAATGAGAGTAATGGCCTACAATTTGTTCGTGTAATGCAAATTTACTTGCTTAGAAGTAGAAGAAAACCCAAGCCATGAAAATCAATGCTTTAAAATTACAAACAACTGCATGATATGTAATTCATAAAGTGCTCAGGTTTCACCAGAAAGCTGACTAGAGGTTTGCTTTCCCTATATTCCTCAGAATCTGAAGCCTTGTCTATCCTATCTCCAATGGTTATAAAAAGTTGTCTTAGGTAAATTTAATGGCGACTTTATAATTTGCATTCTTAGAAACACAATTCAAAGTTTAAATTATGAAAAGTCAGTACTCCTTAATAACTTCTTGCTTATTATATTCCTCCTGAAAAAACTCCAAATGAAACAGCATAATCTGTTTCCACACTGATTATATAACACTAAAGTCAACAAAGTTGCAAAATCTGTTTATTTGAGGGAAGGATTTTGACCCTATTCCCATGAATGGTACCTGAATCCATACCAAGTCAGCATCTAAAACTAATCTAATTAAAGCATGGCTTAGTGATATTCTTGAACAAAACAAACTGAAAATCTTAGTGCCTCTATGTTAATTAACTTTATAGATTCATATAGCAACACAGAGGTTACCAAAAAGTTCAAAGTGAATAGTGACATAGCTCCAAAACTGTAAATAACAGCTGGACTTTTGAGATTAGTGACTGTGGATAAATCAATGGTAAATTAAAATACTAAAGGTCTTATTCTAAGTGGCAGAAAATAATGTTTTGTATGCACTCATTCAATTTGAGACCTTTTTATTAGTAAAAAAGAGCCATTTCACTCACTTCTAAAAGTGCCCAAAATGCATATATAGCTTATAGAGCATAGTGAGACTTTTTTCCCCCTCAAACCATTACATTTTACAGAGTAAATACATATTTTCAAAATAGGACCTAAATCCTTATTTACCCAGCTGACCGCAAATTTACAGATAAGTGTCATATCAATTCAAGCTTTTTGCTCTGCCTTTTCCAGTTGACCATTAGTACAATGCTTCCCAAATGAAAGAAAACTCAAAAGAAATCATGTCTAGAGTATGTAAGACAGGAAAAAAAACTGTTCTCTTACGTACAGAGTTTGTTTTTTGTTTTTTTCAGTTCTTAGGCTGAAGTGTGATGTAAGAATGTCACTCCTATGTCATGTGTTTACTCTTTTTACTTTTTTTAACCCTTTCACATTCAGAATTACATACAAAATTCCAATGTTATGATTTATATAGCTATCAAAGCCACCTAGAATTTTTCCTGGTATTTGATGAAATTCTACTATCATCCTCAGATCTTCCTCTCATTTAACCTTTACACCACAAACACAGAGTCTGTATTTTTTTTTCTCCTTTCTTATCCACAGTTCTGTTATTTCCTTTAAACCGCATAAACTTCTTAACGTATTTACACTCATAAAGATGGGGACCTATAGTGTTATCTCGGACTATACTGAGTTAGTGCAGGTAGCTTGCATTATCTAGTACCATGCTTTGCTCCTAATTGTTTGCAGACATAAATGGTATAGAAAGAAAGGCAAACATTTAGAAAAATATGTCTTACGATATGTGGAAAAATATCTCCAGAGAAAAATCTACCAGTTGCAAGTTAAGTGTGAGAACCAAACTGATTATTCTTCTACTTACATACTCCGCAATCATGTGTTAAAAACCTCAGTAACTCATGTTTTTTCAGTAACTGCAGTCTTCCACTATAGTATTTTCTCCTTCTTTTTTTTTTTTTTTAACGCAAACCAACTTGAAATGTCCCAGAATCATTCACAATGACATCATGAAAAACACAAGGAGTTGCAAAAACATACAAGGATCTACAACATGTCCCTGTCTGTAAATTTCAGAAGCTACTGGTAACAGTTCAAAGCAGTCTCAAGGTTCACAGAACTTCACACTTCATCTTGCACCTCTGAGTAATTCCTCAGCTTTTGCTCCACCATCTTCAGGTCCACCAGTCCACTTTCTGTAAGGGAACGCTGAAGTAGCCCTTCCTTTTCCACAGATATTCCCATACAGAAATCTTATGTTAATAATTAGACCATCTATATCTTACTGTTTACCTGGACCGCTTTCTTAATCCCCTTGTTAATGATCTTCCTCTTCACATCAGTCTTTCCATAGCCTGTACAGCTACAGCCTCAATCTTCACTCCCTATTCCGCCTGGGCTGCAATAATTCATAACACTGGAATTTCTTTCTGAGGGAAAGGTTTGTTACACTGAGAAGCTAACAAGGTGTCACAGTTTGAGACCCTCCTCATGGCTTCACAACATGGCTACAACTTTTTCAACTACCTCAACTTCCTTCTCTTCCTGTCTGTGCCATATGTTGATTTTTACAGTAGCGAAATGTAGCTTCTGATTGGCCCTGGCACATCAGGAACAGCACCACCCAGGGTTAACCACTTTTCTAACTCCAGGGGAAAACACTTTTTATCCCAAGGACACAAGGCCCATCGTAAATGGTTTTCATAAATGCACAAGCCTCTCACAGCCCCAGCATTTACAACTGTTACTTTCATACTACTATCACAAAGTAGCAATCTGAGAATGCACCTAAAAGTGGAAATTACATTCTTGGAGGTCTGGAATTAATATTAAGTCTCCTCTTCCCCACTAAGAGTAAAGAATTGATCATTCCAATTTAAACAAAGGTACGTATTTATAAATAATGAACGTAAACACTAATAAAAACATATCCCTTCTTTTTCTGTCTAGGAAATTGCAAGTTAACAAGAACGATATTCTCTTTAATCATCCGGGTTTATAATTCCATAGGACTGGAATATTTTACATCAAGTTTTAGTCAGTTGTACTTACCTGTCAATAGCATTTCAAAATTAGTTATTGTACTAGTTTAGATGCGTGAGTGCAAAATTTTATATACATTGCAGTGTCTCTCTCAGAATAATTCTGTCTGGGCACATTCTGCCCCATGTTCTCAGTTCTGCACTTGTTAGCATGTCTGTTACTTCTGTCTTCACTTTGTCTAAAAGGAACAAAAATCCTCTAAGATGCAATACTGTCTTTAACTATGATGGAAGATAAACGTGTGTCCCCATTCATATGAGCGTGAGAAGACATAACCCTTCATAAAGAAGCTAGCCAAAATGAACTTCAGTTTTCAATAACTAACATATAAAAGCATAAAAGCATGAAAGTCATGTAAAATAAATTGTCTACTGCAATTCTCAATGTTCCTTTCATATTCTAGATATTGGTCACTGTTCCAGAAAACCAAAATAGAGCTCACAATGCTTCTGGTGCAGTTTACAAGGAGAGGGGAAAGAAAGACAGCGACACTTTTATCTTCATCTCTTTCTTTTCCAAAGTGTTTTCTAGCAACTAAGATGCATACAACACTGTAACAATACTGTAGCTCTCCTTATCTGTGACTTCAATCTCTTTTCTAAACTTCTTAGTCCTTTACATAGTATTGTATAATCCTCTTGGATATTTCATCTTTCAATGAATTTTAAAATAAGGACTACATTTAAAAAAAAAAAAAGATCCTAAGAAACATATAACATATTAGACAAACTATCTAAAAATCTATTTGAAAATGTTATTCCAGCAAATGCCAATGAAGATGCAAAACATATCTGCATTTTTTACACCTACACTCCTTATCTCACTTTTTAAATTAAACCCCACCCACTACTGGGAGGAAAAACTGCAACTACAACAGCTATAGATAGCATGTTCAACCCATAGGTTTACTTTTGTTTACCTCCTTTCCCTAAGCATCTCTGCTTCTGTTCCTGAAATCTAGGTCGTTGACTTTGCTGTTGGATTTAAGTTTCTTTGATGGATTGACAGAGGTTTTCTGAGGCTTAGAGTGAATTTCTACTGTATTTGTTTAAGTAAGGGATTGATAGCCATGGTTAAAAATACCCAACATGGTACTAGCAGATGCTACACAAACTTCCCTGCAGAGCTCTGTGAATGCATTTCAGTCCTGATCTATAACACCCCTGCTATTCTTTATCTGGACCTCTCCTGTGCAGGGTCTGACAGGAGTCATCTGGTATTATGGCTCTATGATTCGAGCAGATAGCCACTAAGGACTAAACAGATATCCCAAAGGTCATCTTCACTTGTTTGCTAAGCCAGTTTTATCATCAGATCTAGATTATGCAGAAGTTAATAGGCATTGTCATGAGTCAGTAAATACGAAATTGTTTTTCAGCATCTGGACAGAGCAAAGCAGTAAAAACAAGGTTACTTACAAAAACACAGAAAAAAAAAAAAAGAAACCTGAAATTAAGGCATACAAAAGCAGGGGGCTTTTTCCTACAACTATATGGTATCTATCAATTCTACATATAAAATTCCCAATGCAGACTTTCAGTTTGTGCTTACAACTGACTCATCCTGAGGAATAATTGGTGTACCAGTGCTCTCTACTCAACATGCGAATTATAAAATGTTTCTGATTATTTCTCAGTGATAGTTTACAAAAGAAGTATGAAGTGCTAGAAGCTTAACATATATAATGGGTATTTAACAAGAAAGCATCACCAAAAAGGAATACTGCCAGGAGGCCTAGTCTGAAGTGAGATGGAAGGCTTAGCAGCTCCTCTCCATTGTCTGTGAGACAGGAAAAGCACAGCAAATATGTAAAAACAAACCAGCAGCATATCTTCACTACGATAAGCTTTCACAGACTTGCTGATGACAGAGCTATGACAGTTTACACCTGCTGAGGATCTGTCCCTATAGTAGCAAGCAAACTATAGAGCAAATCAGAAGAAAAGAATAAATCCCAGATGCTCATTTTGTAATTGCATGTTGATATTATTTCTTGAAATGCAAGTTAAGCATGTCTAGCGTTTTTTTTATGTTATCTTCATAATATGGCAGAGTCTTGCATCTTGAGATATAAAATTTTAATAATGATTCAGCAGGTTTCAAAATCTTTAATGAACATGTTGCCCTTTTTCTTGGGAATAATATTCTATTGCAACATTCAAGATATGAATACTAAATTTCCTTAGATGCTATGTTAATGACTAACTTATAAACCTTTGAAAATAAAGTATTTGCCAGCAAAATAACAATATACTTACTGTTATATTAGTGTGAACAGTATCACTGAAACACAAACTATGACTTTAGGTCCACTGGCTTCAAAACAAAGCAGAGGGTATTAAAGAGGTATTAGTAGCCAATACTTGTATGATGAAATACTGGATGCCACCACGGGCAGTAGATGAGGTACCAAATCTCAGTCATCCCTTACTCTAAAGTACAGCAGCAAAGTGAATCAGTGCTGAGTGTTCGTGGTTAATCAATACCAATAGAGTAACTGTAGTGACCTGTAGCGAACAAGCGTGAGAAGGAAGAAGCAGCAGAGAGGACCTGCTGTGGGCTGACCACTACCCCTGTCCCTTGAGGAGTTGGAAATGAAGCAGTGAAGGAGTTTTCCTATTAGCATATTCTTGACAGGACACAGACAGACTTAAAACAGTTTTGAAAGCTTTTCATATTTGCCATTATTACTGGTGAAGTGTCACAATCATAAGAATGAGAAAAAGGGGCTGAGGAGAAGTTCTTTTATCTTTCTGGTTTTGTTTCTCACAATTCAACTCTATCTAAAGCGGCAATAAAATATTTTCTCCTAAGTTGAGTCTGTTTTGTCCATGACGGTTCTTATCTTTAGTCATGAGCTTTTCCATCTTAAGTTCTCCCAAAGGTCTGCTAGGAAGGAGGGCTGCAAGAGTGACTGGGTGTCACTGCCAGCCAAGGTCATCCCACCAAAACTTCCTTTATGGGCTTTACCAGTTTTAAATGACTGTCTGTACTTTAGTGGCTACACATGGGCAGATATTGGAATCTATTATGAAGGGCTATGTCTCCAGATTTCAGAGATTTTTTTAATTAATGGTTTAATTATTGATATGCTTTTTATGACAAGAATATAATCAGAAAGGAGTGAGAATGCTACCAGGCTACCAGAATTTGTCTAGGCCCCAAAGTAGGAGAAATGAGATTAAGTGCAGATACACATTTATTCCCCTTAATTATTGTTGCCATGTTTTCTGTGAATATTGATTTTTGCAATGTAGAAGAGACTTATTCCATTATATGTATTGGATGGTAGCTCTATTAAAAAAGAAAACAGAGTAAATGTTTTTATATTAGGATGTGATATAGGAATTCAAATAGTTTTGAAAACTTCTCATATATGTCATTAAGTCTACTAAAATACTAGTTACAAAACTCCTACTTACACATTTGTTGACATATCAGTGAGAGGTTTTGATATTTCAAGATTATAAGACTAAGAAAAGAAGTAAAAAATGTGTTGCATACATTTGCTGGGAACTATAAGGCATTCAGCTGGACCTTGACATAGAGGTAAAAGTATGTCTTCGGTGTAAGGTTTGTGCCCTGTGGTTAGTCTGCTGAAGCTGGATGGAATTGGTCAGAATTTGCTCTGTAGGGCACATGAGAGAGTCAGCTTCTCCTCACAGAGGCCGCTCTGCAGCCCCACAGTGCCACTACCAAAACTTACACACATACATCCTAAACTGAAGCGAAAAAGCTAATACGACAACATTTTCTTTGATCTCACTCTAAATAACAAAAGAAAATAAACAGAGTATTCAACCCTCTTTCTCACAACCCCTCTATCAACAAGCACACTGTCTGTATAATATTTCCACGTGTAGTAAGGATTCAAAACAAAAAAGGACTTTAAGCCTATTTGGAACTACCTCTTAGCCTAAACCCTGAAGTTTTTTACATTTTTCCCAGCTTGCTTTGCTTTCAGGTATTTATTCCACCTTAACTTTACTCCTTCCACATCTTCTACTCCGTCTTTGCAATCCATAAAGCATGAGCACTGACTCATTTCTGGACAGATAACTCCAATGCTAAAAGTTGTGAAGAAAAATAGTTACAATTAGCCAAGTGTCTTGTCCATTAAGCTGCAAAAATGAATACTACTGCTGTTCAAGAAACATTAGTTGCATACACGGTTGTTGCTTCCCAGACAATCCTTAACCACACTTACTGTAGCAGTTTCCCTGGCCTCTAGGCAACAGTCTCAGAAGTGTATTCATTTCATCTCGGACACTTTATCGAAGAGGACTGGAACTGTAAAATCACCAGTTTCTCTCAATCCTGTGTTCCGAGGTATGTTACACACAGTAACAGCAGCAAACAGACTTGTTTCCATCAAAGCCATTAAAGAGACAAGAATCAGCAACTCTACAACAAGATATAAATATGAAATCAATAACAGGAATATATAACCTGTCACCTGCATATAAACGAATTTTACTCCCAACATCTACAATTCCAAAAAAAGCACAAATGCAACACACAGGTGAACTCAACCTATTTTTCAGTCAGTTGTTAAACAAATTTATTACAAATATCTTCTTATTGATTATACAGTTTACATCACTCTTCAAAATTATACACATCCTTTATTATATTTATATGGTATTTGCATTCTAAATATTTTAAAGCTAGAAACAGCACACTGCAATCATTACCTTTAGACCTGTAAGTGTTCTGTAAGACACATCTTTTGCTATCATTATTAATTTAGGATGTTCTGAACCATAATCTGAGCCATTTAGAAGGCAATGAAGAATTAGAAAAGCAATGGTTAGATAACTCGAAAAAGAACATATTTCCCTGCCTAGCAGAAGCACTTATGCACATATTTAGTTTTAAATAGTTCATTTATTTCTGAACAATTCATCAGATTCATACTTATTTCCACTAATTTTCATTATTTATCTAGAATGAAGTGTGCTATATTATCTGCGTACACATTAATTCAATCTGATACTGTTTCCCACTTCTCTAACAGCTAGGTTGATGTGATCTTTTCTTTCAAATTTCTTAACCTCAGAGAAAGAAACTGCTGGTTCACAACAGCATATCTTCAACTGAAAAAAGATTTCCTAACAGCTTTGTGATACAGCGTCCTTGAAACTGGTTTATTTCTCCTTTTCTAACTTATTTTCAGATGTACAAGAAATGTCACTTGTATTTTGTCAGAAAAAGAAAGCAAAACTCATGGGAACATAACACACACAGTTTATTAAAGTCACAACATTAGGAGAAGATACTGCTAGCTTGTCAGAGAAGTGCATGCTTCTTTTCAAATCTGAACTTCAGCCTTTGTGAAATATGCTGTAGGAAGCCCTGGATATGAATCACCCAGTCTGTCCAGATTATGCTGCTTGAGAAGCAGCAGTGAAAAATTTTCTACGTAACCAAATCTGTTCTAGACAGAGTGAGATCTTGTTATTTCAAGACTCGAGACTGATGAAAGTATATCAACATGAAGAAAACAACATGGTCGATAACCTCATGAAATACAGGCAATTAGAACTTTTTGATACAGGATGGTTACTCAACAATACATTGCTAATATTCACATAAAAAGTCAAATGTTTAAGTGAAAAAAAAAAAAGAAAAAACCCAAATACCTTCTTCCGTGAAAGCTGCTAGACCTGTCAGAATTTTGAGATGAAAGAACTGAAAAGCCAAATTAATTGACTACCCTACTGGAAGACACACACATTAAAATAAATGGCAAAGCAAGAAACCTCTAAAGGCTTTCAGAGTAAAACAAAAAACTCACATCTCAGGATGCATGTAGGAAAACCCACGGATACCATACTGCAAGGCAGAACGGTAAATGTTTTAACATCTCTCACGTAAAATCTTCATGTCAAGTGTTTCCTGGACTTTGATGTGTGTTATTTGCTGGAATTCTTTAGTTTAATAGGCACTGTAAGAAAATGTTGATTTAATAATACCGAAAAACAGCCTCACCTAGAGGCACTAGTAGGTGCAGTGGTTAAACCCCAGTGGACAACTAATTACCATCCAATCCCTTGCCCATTTCCCTTGCCACTACCAACCAACTCTGGATAGCAAGGAGAATTAGAAAAGGGTAAAACCGTTGGACTGACATAAAAACAGATTAATAACTGAAATAAAAGAAAAAATTAAGACCATAATATAATGATAATTAACAATAATAATAATAATAATAATAATAATAATAATAATGGGATTAAAATCTAAGAAACCAAATTTATGCACAAACAACTGCTCACCACCTGTCAACTGATTCTCAGCCTGTCCCTGCAAAGCAATCAGGACTTCTACTTTATGTACTGAGCATGATGTTCTATGGAATGGCATACCACTTCGGCCAGTTCAGATCACCTGCCCTGGCCATGCTCCCTCCTGGTTTCTAGTGCAGCTTCTTACTGGCAGCACTGGAAACACATTATTTGATTACTTTATTATCTCATAATGATACATAACTACTTATAAGTTTATTAGACACTGCCAACTCATTATGAATCACTTTTGCCCCAAGACTGCTTCATAATTAGAAATTCCTTATGGCAGAAATAGCAGTCAGCATAAATTTCTAGGAAGTACGAGGAAGATGTGCTCAAAAGATCTCTGCCTGTATTTTCAGTCAAATTTTGCACTGCTGGTGACTTACACAGAGAAAACAAAGCAACAGGCAAAGGTAAGTGGTTAAATTTATCTCAAAAGACAAATAGCAAACGCTGCATTGCTTATTCTACTTCAGTGAGAATTTGTCTTGAAAATATCCTTCTTTTTTTCCTTACTCAGGTTTCTGGTGCAGCTGGAAACTCAGATGAAAAATTAGCTAACCAACAGTCCCCGAGACACGTTTGTTCAAAACCTGCTTCATCTTCAGTGGACACCTGAGGAGAAACTAGTTAAAAGCTTGACAGATTCAACACATGGTAAAGCATCTTTTGTTGGCAGTGCTTTAAATTGCTATGAGGGAAGGTGTATCGGTGAACCAGAAGTCAGCAGAGGGAAAGAAAAAGCCACTGTTGCCTCCATCTTAGAAAAAGGTGTCATATACAGAATCCCAGAGGTTCAGAAAAACAGTAAATTTTCCAAATTAATTTTAAAAGTTCTTAAGCAAATCTTATTTATCTATCTGTGGAAAAATATATATTCTAAGAGTGATATTATGTTTAGCACTAGTTTCACATCAGGTAAAAGGACAGATTCTCCAGTTCATACCCTCTGACCTTCAGAAGAGTCAAATTTAGACCCTACAGATGCAGCAGAACAAATAAGTTTGTTTTTAAATTACAGTTGGATAAGCTGATGAACAGGATTCTAAGATGTGCTCAACTGTAATAACAAAGGTCTGTGTTTGATGACAAGAGTTTTTTGAAGTTTCTTACATCCCAATGACATATATCAATGCAAAAAAATGTCCAGAACTATTCAAATACCAGTGGATTAGATTTAATGAAGTACGGATTAGACTCCAAACAAAAAGAATCATATGTCTGAAAGGTATCTGAGAGTATAACAGAAAACAAAATAAATCAAATTAAATAGGATTGCCTGAATGATTCTATTATAATGGTAATCGCCCCTCCAACATCTGCTGCTTCTTCTTGATTTTAGTTCAAGCCATAAGCAAGTCTTCTCAAGTTGAACATCAAGTCAAGTGTTTTGCCTCCTCCAAGATCTTCACTGTATTTAAAACTATCAGTCATAACCTGGCTTTACTACAAATCAGAGATTACTTGCTTTGGGGTGGCCTTGTACCAACACCCTCCGAATTGGCTTGGACTAAAGATGTGCTTAAATACTTGGTCAATACATAATAATAAAAAATAATAAAAAAGCGTAAGTGGGGCTTATGAAAGGACCAGTGAGTATGGGGCAACTGATTTCCTTTTCAATTTCCAGTTTTGTCTTCTAGAACTCTCTTCAGAAAGGGAGGAGACAAAGTTTACAGACATAAAATTCTCTGTAGATTAAATACTTAAATATAAAGTATCAGGTCAAATGCATTCTAAAATGTATAAAAAACATTCTTGTACAGATCTGAATCCTGCCTCTCCTCCCATGGGATACTGCCACATCACCCACCCTGCAAGATGGAATGGGTTTATATATAGAAGCAAATACACACCACTTCCTTCTCCTGGATAGAAAAAGGCTTCAGTAGACAAAAATAAACATAGGAAAGCCAGTATCAAGGAGCATAAGCCTGCTTCAAGGCCATCAGAAATGGGAAGGAACCAATGAGGTGTGTTTGGACCACCTCATTTCTGTTACTCTGATAGGAAATTCAGATTGTTTTGTGTGCAGATTGCTTTGTCTGCAGAACCCTCCTCTAGTTCTGGATTTAAAAGGTTCTTTTTATAGTTAAGGATGCTCAATGATTTCATTATTAGCCAGTTTCATTTCTTTGTATATATGAAGGAAAAATCCATACTGCTTGACAAAAAGGTATGCAAACCTAAAGGAATTATTTATCCCTTTTGACTAATCAGATAATGAATTCGCTAGGGGAGGGGGGGGAACATGACACAACAATTTTCATTACAATTTAATTAAAATTATTATTTGTCTCACTATGGCAATAAGTCAACAAACTTGCTTGCATTTCTTTGTACTCACATATTATATCCATATATGCCTGACAACAATTCAGCACACTTTTTGTTCCAAAGAATAAAAAAACTCCTAAAAAACAAAGTATGCTTTAAAGCCCTTTTCAAGAGATTGACTTAATCTCTTTTTGAGTTCCACTTCCCGCTTGCGAAAGCTTTCCAACTTACCTGAATACTGATGTACAAGAATGCAATCTGCAAAGCTGCAGGAAAGGCATGTGGTTTTTCACAGCCACAAGACATATGTGTATATATGTGTACTCATATGATGGGTATGCCTTCAGTTTAGACAGGGCAACTGATGGATACAACTATCCCGCCAGCCTGGTGCCTTGGAAACATACCTTCAGTCAACCTTCTCTGAGCCTGGATTTCTCTCTAAGACATACAGACCTGGCTGCCAGTGCAGTAACCTGGTACATTCTCTTCAGAGAGAGTTGAAAGCCAGAGACATATTGTAGAGCTGCGCTGGGAATGTGTTCCAGTCCATCTCTGTGTCAGAGAATTAGGAGGTGAGGTGTAAAGAGTGTGTCACAGTCACAGCATGGGAACTTTACAGGTTTTCTTCTGGAAAGCGAAAAGATAAATGATTATGAGCACGTTTTCTTTCTGGAGGCAAGTCTGAACAATAAAGCCTGTTCTCATAAGTCTAACTCCAATCTCACACTAGAGACGAGACTGTAACTAATATTTTCAGTGAGGTTATGAAGACTCTGCCTGCAATAGGCAGTCTCCCTCTGAAAAGCATGACAGAGTAGGCAGGAGGAAAGATTGGCTCTGTTACAGGTTCCATTTCTAACACAGTGCTCATTTAGCTCGTTTATAATAGTATTACATTAAATTGTCCTGTAACAAGTTGGCAATGGGTATTTTAATGCAAAATCAGGTTTAGTGAAGGCAGCTACAAGTCAAAAATATTAATCTGCCTCTTCTCATTAATCATAAGGCAATTTACATGCTCTAGCCATATGCATTCTTAATAAAAATAATATCAGCAGTCATAGGAATGATCCAGTTTTAATAAATTTTGCAATATTCACATTTTCAAATAAGATGGATAACAGCTGTGTTCAGCAAAAAAAAGGATACATTTTTTTCCCCTCATGTAAACTTTTAAACTGTGTTGACATGTCAAGGACCTAAAATACTACATCTTCATAGTAATCTTAGGTTATTATGTTATTTTATACCTGTTGATTCCTCTATTTTAATCATGATTTTTATAGATTTTCTACATAATGATTCACCACAATCTTTAATTAATTTACCATGACCAAAATTTTTTGCAAGCATAAAGCATTTATTTCACTGCTACAGCATCTAACCTAAGGATCTCAAAAAGTTAAAAACTGTCAGCTAATTAATTCTAACAACATTGCAATAATTTGACAAAGGTTATATAGATTTCATTTCAGCCACCAGTAAAATACCTTATCCTCTGATGTGAAATGCAATAGCTGACTAAAAGGTCTCAATAAAATAATATTTTGGGTCTTTTTCTACCATGTGCTCTGCAGTTTCTATTATCTAGTTGTAGATTATCTGGGATCTTACAGAATCAGACATTAAATTACTTCAGAGAACACATATGTTTATGTAGAAGGGGTCAAGAAACACATGTGGTTCTCTGCAGAAGGCATAGACTTAAAAAAATGAAAATTTGGAATTAATATAGACTGTGCCTGCTTGGCCAGATGTCCTTTTCATGTTAGCAAAATGATTTAGCCATAGCATTTGTTAGTATTACATTTTGGGACCCCTTAGTGCAATTATCGCACTAGTAATTTAACTGTTACACCATCAACTTGCAAATGTTCACTTAAATTGAAGCACATGGCAGTATCTCTATGCATATAAAAGACATGATAAGCCACATCCTTCTAGCAAGCACTTCAAAAAAACAGGTTCATTAAGCATACGTTTCACACAGCTAATTATAGAATCAACTACAGAAAATACAGGAGTGCAACAGATGACATTCTTGAAACATCCTGATCTCCATGAGGTAAAATCCCAACACATCTCAAGAAATATGGTCAAAAAGCTATCCCATTCAGGGAAAGAACTGCTGTCAAACTACTAGCAATGTATCAAAAATATGACATTTCTTAGAAATCCAGAATCACAATTTATAATTCTCGGTCATCCTGCAAACACTTTGCAGCACCACTGTAGCTGCAAAGCAGGCATTAGTCATTTTAAATTACAGACTATCCTGAAGGATTCAAGCCTAGTTTAAAACTACTTTCAGTTTTGTTCCATGCCTAGACTGGACACAAACCTGAAACATTTAATCTTTTCTTACAAAGGGTGGTGGGGGGGAAAGTACAGGTTATACATTTGGTACAAACTGAACCCTTTGGCTAAACTATGTGCTATGCTTTCTGAGACGCAAAGCACACGGGAAAAAAGTGTATGACACCTTTACTCATGCTGCATTTTGAACTACTCTAACAAAGAACAGTGTTGATGGACAACATGAAGCCATATGAACCCCTCCTTTCATTGTCTGCAGATGCTTTCTTTTCTTAACTCTCTGATTTGGAAGTGTATGGAGAAACTGCATAGAATAGATGGTACACATTTGTATGGCTTACCACATTTAATTTAGATATTGTAGTTACTGTGGCCTTTCAGGTTTTGAGAATTGTATGCCATTTAGATCTCACATTATTTAGGAATGCCAGACCATGGCTCCCTAGAAAGACAGTCGAGAGGTCACTGAAGCTTAATCAGTTCTATAATCACAGCACAGCTCATTCCCTGAAAAAAGGACTCTCCCCTGTACCCTTTCAGCTCCAACAGCCACACAACACTATGATCAGAAGAATGACCTCTCTAATTCTGATGTCTGACTCATTTCCAGGAACAGTCTTCCAAAGTGCTGTCAGTGTGTGAGCCACGTACTAAGATGCTGAAAAACAGCATGCAGGGTGATCATGAATCATCATGGCAGAACTAAGCAAAAGACAAACAGTGTGAAGCAGGTGTGCGCAGAAGAAAGATGGAATGGGGACAAAATAAGCGTACATGTATATAGGCGAAAAGTGTATTACTGCATTTGCTTCCCCCTCTCCTTTCTCCTAAATGATATTTTTGGCAGCTTTTTCTCTATTTTCCTGCTACTTTGTGACTCCTAAAACACTTTAATACAAATCTTGACAATAGAAAAAAAAGGCAGAAAATCTGCAAAAGGACAACCTCTGCCTCTTTTCAGAAGGGAACAAAAAATACTTTTTCCCTCCATCCTCCAAACAGGATGGGAACCACAGCAGTGAAGAATTTTCTTGAATCTTCTTCAATCGTTTTTTTTCTAACGTGCTGAAAATGTGTCTCCTGCTTTCATCTTCCCTGTCTCTATTCCTTCACTTTGCTTTATTCTCATGATAAAATGGTGCATATCATTAACAGTCTTTAATGGACTTAATATTGTTTTGATTTTTTTTCTTCCAGAAATGTGGTTGGTACCTGCAGCTGCTTATAAAGTATTTCAAACAACCTAAAACAAGTGGCCTGAATGATTCAAGATTATTGGTAATGGCAAACAGAGCCTTTCAACTTCATAAGACAAATTAAAATGCATCATAAGATGATAGTGATGAAAGCCACATGCAATTATGTCCTAAAGTTTTATATGAAACAAATGTGGTGTGCTCAGAGATCTATTCCATATCAAGAAACCCGCTACATGTGGCATTGGTTAACAGGAGCTGGCAGTCTCCAAAGAATGGTTGCAGAACCAGTGCTTTATGAAAATTAATTGCTCTTTTAACCCTGGAAGAGGTGCTTTAGCTCAGAATTTACATACTGCATAAAGATGTGTTAGGTACAGTAAGCCTTTAAGCAAAGTGGTAAGGATGTGGACCAATTCCATGACCACTTAACTCTTCTCTGCTGCTCAGGGATCTCTGTGAAGTTTAAAAGTAGAGATATTCATAGTACCAGATGGTCTGGAATTTGACTACATAGAAGATGGAGTGGGAAGGAAAGGAATAACCTTTACCTTTACTGAAATAATCAAACTGTATAATGCAGTTTAGTCAGAGTACTCTTTTTTTTACTTTTGTTTTAATTGTGCTTCCTTCTTTTTATAAAAGGCACGACCATAAGGTAGTCCTGATAGCTGGCTCCAGGAAAACAAAGGTGCCAAGACACAGGGAGAAAGTAGACCTGCCCTTGGACCGAGACAGCAAAGCGGAAGATACAAATATAACTTGTGTGTCCACAACCCATCTGACCACAGTTCCCTCACAACTATCCTTCCTGACAACACTGAAGAAGAGTGTTGTCTTCTTCGTAGAGACTATCTCAGTCCCCAGCTAGTTATTGCTACCAGCCCTGATACTATTGTTATGATGTAGGAGATACTCTACAGCTGACGTCCCCAGACCAAAGATATTGGTCTCTGAAGAATACCATAAGAAAATGAGCACTCCATGTAGCCATACATTTCACATATCTTCCAGCTGGTTCTCGGCATATCTCTTGCTGACACCAGAGACTCTTTAATTAGTTGAAAAGTGGAAAATCAAGTATTAAAGGGTGCCTGAACTGCTTTACATCAACCAGTGTAAAGACAAAAAAAAAATTTGTTAATATTTTAGATGACTTTGGTCCTAATGTCTTATTTAATGTGTTTCTGGAACCCAAATTAAATTCAGAAAAGCAACACCACTGAAAGAGCAAAACCACATGACATGTACTTCGACACAATACAGGAATCAGGATCAAACCCAAGAGATCAAAACAACTACATTCAATAATTCAAATTACTCAGTAATTAAAAAAAAAAGAAAAGAGCATTTTATGGTCCATAAACCAATGTATCAGCTGCTATTGCACTTAAATTTTTCATTCTACCAATGCTCCCTACAGATATGCAACACCTGAGCTCCAATAAGTAGGTAAAAGTGAGATTCTTATAGAAGCTTTACAGGTAAACTCCATTCAGGGATTAGTTGTATTTCATGTAAGTAGAGTTCAGAGCACAAAAGGTGATAAAACTATAATAGTAAATTAAATTTTTCTTTTCTTCTAGTGTTCTTAAAGAAGAGTTTTAAGCATATCTTAAAACTCTTCAGCACTGTTTTACAAAAATAGACAGTGATGATTTGTTTTTTAGATGAGTTGGGTAAAGAAAGATACCATTAAATCCGTCCTGAGCACAGACACCTGCAGAGTCAGACACTCAAGAGAAATGGTCTGGGAACTTCTGAATGCTTCCTGAAATTCTAAACACAGAAGGTTCCTCAGACATGTTTTTCTGGGCTCTGGCGCAAGTAGCAAAGGATTTTGCTCAGCTTTTTCCTATTCCTGTGCATTGTGCACCCTCTAGTGGCAAAAAAACCAAAACAAACAAAAAAAACCAAACAAAAAACCACAAACAAACAAAAAACCCAAACAAACTAAAAAAACAAACAAACAAAAACCAAACCAACAAACAAACACATATTTTTCACTATTTAAACCCTTTCTTGGCTTTACTGTCAATGGAAGACAAACCTTTTATTAAATGCATTCTACCCTATTTTCTCAGGGATTTCATCTATCTTTTATTTCATGCCACACAGCAGCTCAACATATTGATATGAATTTTAAATAGATTGTCACAAGGCTATTATTGTGCAGGTAGTATGTGGTTTCAAGAGAATTCTGCTGTAATCAAGGTCACTTGTGCCATCTCTAAATTAAAAAGATACCCATAATCAATAAACACCTCTCTTAGACACCTGGAATCTCGAAGCCCTATCCATCTTCTGCAGTCACACTGCAATATCCCTTAGCCTAGCACAATTTTAACGTAGTTTGCACAATACTGAACATGATTTTCTCTGGATTTCCTGATGTAACCAGAATACAAAGTAATGACAATGAGGAAGTCTGGAAATTACAAAAGAGAAGCAAAAAAGGATCAAGACTTACCAGCCAAGGACTACTCTTAACCATATGAAGGAGAAAAACAAACAAAACAAACCAACATAAAAACCAAACAAAAATTCAAAACCAAAAACAAACAAAAAACCCCCAAAACCAAGAAAACCATGAGTATACCTTAAAAATGATTTGTAAGCAAATTCAAGATTCTGGATGAGATAGAAGCAATGAAAACAAAATTCAAATTAATGATCCTAATTAGATGAAAGTATTCAGAGCAAACACATCCTTACCCTAAGACACAGAGACTGGTAGATGTCTACAGAAGGTTAAGGGATACCTACACGGGATATACACAGAAAAGCTTGCAGCTGCTCTGCACTGTGCCTGTGTCAGACTGATATTCTTTGAGATGGTAGAGCTCTTGTAATTTCTGTAAACCATCACACCAACCAAAGAGAAGTTAGCATCCAACTAACCCCTACTAAAGCTGTAAGTGGCCATGTTATGCTTATAAATTATATTAACAGGATATAAAGGCCTCGTTTTAGAGGTCTGTGTACTTAAAATCAGTTGACAGATAGATGTACATGTGGCACTTCTCCAGTAAAAAAAGATTTTGCTGACTTTGACAAAACCAAGATGTCTTCTTTATGCTATTACCAGTTTTTCAGACAGAATTGCATGCAGTTGTTTCTATGAATGTACTTCATTCGGCAGCATGCAGCACTTGAACTGTTTCCAAAAATAGAATGAACTCCATTCTTTGTTTTTAATAAATCTGTTTTCCCGTAATAATTGATTGCAACATTGTCTTTATAGTTCAAATTGATAACTAGTAAAACTAATGTATACTGACTCAAGCAGCATAGAGTTTACTGAAAGGGGCCTGATCCTGGGCTTCTACAGGTAACATTTTTTCTTACAGGTCCTTGCTAATTTACAGATAGGTCACTGTTAAACAGATATGCTACACGGACGACTGTTAAACAAAAATGAGCAAGATTTTGGTAACAAGGACAGAATTAACTGGCCTCATAACATATGGTTCAAAAAATGTTTTAGCAAACATCACATGTACTAATACTGTTACAGCTATTGTTTCAATATTTCAGCATAATCACTTTATACTCCTGAAAATTATCATTTTCAATTGTACATATTATGGTCCTAAAGATAAACTCTCTTATGGGTGCTATATCATTTCTAAACTTAGAAAAATTTAGTATAAAAGCTCTTAGGCTGATGAGCAAAATTTTTATCCTTTCATATCTAGCTTTCTAGTTCCAATGACTATTATCCATCAAAGTGCCTTCTCTGCTGTAAAATAAACATGTTTTGTAAACATTTAGTAATTAATGTTTATGGTGGGGTTTAGGGGGTTGTTTGGGTTTGGTTTTTTTTACCAAACACCTCACCTCCTTTGGAACTTCTTTCCCAGTTTTCATGTAATCAATGCAAATACCTAACTTAAATATCTTCATGGTTTTTAAGCCTAACGTGAGATTATGTGAATATTCACAGGGTACTTTAACTTGGATTTATCCTGACAATTTTCTTCTCCATCTTTTGGCTCTCCATAGTATTGAAAAGGAAGAGCTGTCCCTGGCAAGTGCTGTTTTGTGTCAAATTTCAATTAAACAAATCATCTGAACTAATATTTCAAAAACAACATAATTTTGTATTTGCAAAGAAAGATCACACTCAAGATCAGGTACTGCACAGATTCTGTACATGTTTGAGACAGTGATTTTAAAATTCAGATGACAAATTTAGAACTATTTAGAACTAATACATGTACCCAGAGCAAATGCATATCATACATATGTGTATGTAGAGAGGTAAAAACCAAACAAATTGCTTTGCTCTCTTTCAGCATATTTTGCTTGCTTTGTAGCATGAGAAAAGCACTAGATTTTCTGTATTGTGCATACACAAGTGCTCTTGGTGTCACTACCTTACACATAAATAAAACCAGACAAATACACACTTCCTAGCTTCTGTATTGCAAACAATCATGTTGTGTCATAAAACTGAACTAGCACATACAGTGAAAAGTTTATTTGTTTAAACACAAAATCCTTTTCTCTGGGAGATGGTATTTTTGTTTGCTTTAAGCTTTTCAGAAATCTGAGTGATCTGCTGGCTTGTACTCTCTCGTGTCTCATGAGAACCATCTAGTGACCGAAGCTCTCAGTTCGTGCTGCTGGTTTGCAATGGTGAACAATTACTCACGTTTGTAACACCTCCCCTGACTTGTCTTATTCATGCTTGTAACACCTCCCCTAATTTGTCTGCACTCAGACAAAATCACATTATTAACCTTTTTTTTTTTTCATCAGTGATTCATACATACTATTTGTTGCTTGGATTCCTTTGACATAAATAAGTACTAACGTTCAAATCTTTCATAGATCCCAAACATCACTTCAAATGCACAGTGCAACACGAATAGCACAGTGGTATCTCACTGGTAAGTTACACTGCCAGTTCTACATAAACTAGTTCAGGCACCAGCAGTCTAACTGGAGCCATGCTTATAACCAGGTAGTTTAATCTAGCTCTCAAGTGGGTTTTGATGCTGCAATTAGAAGTTTACTAAAGAGACAGCTATTTTAAAAGCTCGAGGATACCTAGCAGGCCATACAGGCACACTATTTGCCTGGTCAAAACCATCACTAAAGAAATGGGTAAAAGCAAATTTAGTATTTCTGTGGAAACTCTGAAATTCCTTAAAGCCAAAATAATTTTTTTCAGATAATTAGTTAAAACAACTGAAATAGCCTGAATCAAAACACAGCATCCCCTGCTTTCTCACTTGCTATGTGTGAAAAGAGTATCTCTATCTCTTAAAAAAAAAAAGTAACAGATTTGTATACTTTTAACTTGTATTTCTGCCTTTTAAACTCAGTTTCAACTCAGTGAAGCAGCCAACAAATATAGATTTAATTATATGCAAAAGATGCTCTACATGCAATGCAAATTCAATACAAAAAATCCAAAGAAAGCAGCCCTGCTTTAAATGAGCACAAATAATTCATTACACTGATTTGAAAAGAACTGTGCTTTAATACATAGATTACTAAAGGCCAGAGTTGATAAAGTCCTAGATTTCTGTGGGTAAAGTTTTAGTGAAAACCTGACCATCTGTAAGACACTTCATTAACGTCTTTTAATTCTTTTCTAAATTATGCAACCATTATAGCCCCTTAAACTTCTAGCTAACCATATTAATCTGCCATCTACTGAAAAGTTTGACAATATGAATTGAAAGCAGAATATTAAGGATCAGCTGACACCTTATGATAACGTTGGAAGACCACTTTTAGACACAATGCTCTTGTATTACATCTTTCTTCTGAAATTCTTCAACCCTCTTCATCTTACTAGATAAGGTGTAATTAAGGCAGACAGTGGCCCACAGAGCTGAGAGTGTTGGGAAGTCATGATTAGACATACCAGAAACAACATGGCATAATTCTCCTTACAATACTACACTCAAAAAGGCTTGTTAACATCCACAGACTCCACCGGTGCCACAAAATGTCCTGTGACTTCTGAAGATAACATTTTAAGCTCCTTTCATCTTACCTTTGATTTTTTTTACCAATTTCACTAATTTTTTCTTCTAAGAAGCACAGTGGGTAAACTTCACCAACATACAGCAGGCTTCTACTTGAACCTCACAACAATGCTTGAGGGGTGTTCCAGGGGTCAGTCATCAGTGGGAGCTGGTCTTGTCCTCTCTGCACACAGGATCCTGGCACTCTCTACTGCTGGAATGATTTTTAGGCTTAAAACCTTTCCTTAACCAACAGAATAAACACAAGCACACTGAACCTCAGCAATGTCATCTCTACATTATCTCCTTACAAGATGCTAAAACCTTGGCAGAAGTTTAAGCTGTCATAAATAGCAGTAAATTGCACTAAGGTCAATTAAGAAAAAAATTAATATGCTTAGCAATTTGTTCTGTAATGAAATGTATGAATGTAATTTAGCACAACAATATGAGAAGATGCCAAAACATGGTCTTTAACATAAACTGTTTCAGTAATGCTTTTTTAAATGCTCTCTAAAACATCAACAGATTCATGATCTTTGACAAAGAGTTTAGCATTAGCAAAGATATAACAAATCTGTGATAATGGTACCAGAACTACCATGGACTGTGATGTCTGAAATTTTATAATCATGCTTACTTTACCGGTTTTTACTTTTGTTCTTTTTCTGTATTTATTCTTATACAAATTTTATACAATCATTTACAATTCCACCTAAAATGAAGCACAGAATAAGCTTGCTATCTTATACAACAAAATACAACCTTCCTTATGAAAATAACTTCACAAAACCTTCTACTTCACATTTTTAGCAGGAGAAACCTCTTGAAACAAGAGGTTTCTTTCAATTTGGCCAATATCTCATTATTATTCACCCCACAATCACAAGCCATCGCTGATTTTAACTCACCTTTTGCGGAAGAGCTGAAACTACACAAACCACCAGCCGACAACTCACATCAGAACCACTGCTCTTGCTAGCACTGCCACCTGCTGTTGATGTTAATTTTGTTTCTTGCTCAATAGCTTTAAAACACCAATTTTGTACAGCTAATTTCACTTAGCCTATAAGAAAGAGATATAATCAACATCGATTTTTTTAACTATTTTAAACACACTCGCTGTTTCAGTTTCTTCTGGTAGTAGATGTATAATTGTCTTATTCTCATGCTTTTCTAAACACACAGAATAACAACAATAAAGAATCAAGATTTTCTGTCTGCTGTTTTGGAAGTGTTTGCTTAAGATCCTGTATGTGTTTCTTAAGAGGTTTTCACAGAATAAAAATTAAAGAGTAAATCAACTAATCACAAATTTATTAAAATAATGGTTATTTTTTAAGCCAACACAACTAGCACGGAACTTCATGACATATTAAAGAAATAGGTTCTACTACTCTTTAGAAAGTGGATCTAGTAAAATGTCATGGGATTTTATTATTTAAGTAAGGTCTGCAGCTCTACAGTAGCAACAGAATGCTAGGAATTTAATCTGAGAGGGCTATTATCCAATGAAACAGAGATTATTATGTTTCCTTTGCAACTGTGTTTGGTACTAGCCTAGGCTTCTATATAGACAAAAATGCAGACAAATTGAAGAATAATTTTATTTCTGAAATTCAAACTTGGTACATGTATGTACTTTAGTTTTGGAAGTTTATATATATATGTTTGGGGGGGTTAATTTATTTAATTATATGCTTATATATTTAAACATATAATATGGCCCTAAATCTACTACTAAATTTCAGGAGTAGGAGGCAAGCCATGCCATCCCCATGGTTGGCTTATACTGCTCCTCAGAATACTGAGTCGGAAGGAAAATCTTCCTTTCCAGTGCCTGGCCTTAAAAGCTGAATTCCACAAAAAAGTTCATCACTAAAATTTTTGAAACAAAAAAAGATGTTACAAAAAGGACAGTGGGATAAAAAGCACTGATAAACTTTTGCAGCAGATTTCAAGAATCAAATTGAGGACTTGTTTCTGCTCTATTTGATTTCCATGGCAAGGTTCTAGTAGTGGTAGGGGCTACAGGTGCAGCTTCTGTGAGAAGCTGCCAGAAACTATCCAAGAGAGGCAGTGCCAGCCAGCTCCAGGACAGACCCACCACCAGCCAAGGCCAAGGCCATCAGCAATGATAGTGGGGCCTCTGGGACAACAGATTCAGGAAGGTAAAAAAGTTACTGCACAACAGCAATTGCAGCCGGACAGAGGAGTATGTGAGAGAAGCAGTTCTGTAGACATCAAGATCAGTGAAGAAGGAGGGAGAGGAGGTGCTCCAGGTTCCGGAGCAGAGATTCCCCTGCAGCTCCTAGTGAGGCAGCTGTGCCCCTGCAGCCCATGGAGGTCCATGGTGGAGCAGAGATCCACCTGCAGCCCATGGAGGATCCTACACCTAAGCAGGTGAATGCCTGAAGGAAGCTGTGACCTTGTGGGAAGCCTGTGCTGGAGCAGGCTCCTGTCAGGACCTGTGGCCCCATGAAGACAGAAGCCCACACTGGAGCAGGTTTGTTAACAGCACTTTGACCCCTTGGGGAACCCAGGCAGAAGCAGTGCACATTCCTGAAGGACTGCAGCCCATGGAAGGGACCCATGTTGGAGCAGTTCATGAAGAACTGCAGCCTGTGGGAAAGACCTATATTGGAGAAGTACGAGGAGGTCTCCCATGGGAGAGACCCCAAACTAAAGCACGGGAAAGAGTCCCTCCCCTAAGGAAGATGCATCAGCAGAGACCATAACCCCCGTTCCTGTCCTACTGTACTGCTAGGAAGAGGAGGTAAAAAATCAGGAATAAAGTTAAGCACAGGAAGAACGTGGGGGAGTTACTTTTAAGATTTTGCTTTACCTCATTATCCTACTCTGGTTTGATTGGTAATGAATGAAACCAATTTCCCCAAGTCAAGTCTGTTTTACCCATGACAGTAACTGGAGAGTGATCTGTCCCTATCTTTATCTCACCCCACAAGCATTTCATTATATTTTCTCTCCCCTGTCCAATTGAGGAGGGGAGGGACAGAGTGACTTTGGTGAGCACCTGGTGTCCAGCCAAAGCCAACCTACCACATACTTTTTAGGGAAGTTCTTTCTTCTAGCCACTATTCTAGGACTGGGCTGACAGAACAAGGACATGGGCAATGTTAAAACAGTATGGGTATATAAATTACGTCTGTTAAAAAAAGAGTAGAATCAGCAGTCATACAATGATGGCAACACCTAGGTTCAACCGCTTCTTTTGGAGAAAAGACAGAGGAGAATGTGACAGAGTTGTACTATGAATGACATGAAACAGATAAATGAGAAATGAATGTTCATGCCCTTCCAATATGATAAGAATCAGAATAGAATACTAGGTGGCAGGTCCAAAGCAAAAACACCACCACAAAAAAAAAGCGCTTTTTTCCAAACTATTTGAAGTTAAGCTGTGGAGGTCCGTGCTAGAGAATGCTGCAAATGCTAGAAATTAATAATGTTGAAAGAAAAAAATGTATTATTTCTTAAAGCCTCTGTTAGAAAAAGTCATTGACTGTTAATAACTACCAATGCCATCACCGACATATTCTGCACATTATTGAAAGCAGGTCTGAAGAAGAGTTCTTGCATTCATTAACACCATGAGATATGTTTTAATCACTACCAAAGAAGTGATAAACATCTTGGATTAAACAAACTGAGCAAGTACCAGCCTGAAAACAAGCCAAACTATCTGAGAAAAACAAAAGAACAGAAAATGATAACTGGATGTCAACAGGCAGGATGTAGCAATTTAAGTAACTACACTGAAGGCTTAACAGTGATTGGGTGGGACAAAATTATGGAAGAAGCTGGGTAAGATGAACAGTAGTGAGAAAGAGGAAAGCAGTATAATGAGCAAGAAATTTGTGGTGGGAATCAACACTGCAGACATAAGCAGTTCCAAGAGATGGACAAAGAGTTTAAGCTGGCAGATACAAAATGTTCCATGACAGCTACAGTAAAGGTATGTGGAAATGAATGTCAGTATTTTTAAGGGTATTTGGTAAAGGACCATTTTCTGTGAGGTAAACCATACACAGGAACATACAGGGCCACAAACCTGACCACCAAATGATAAGGGAGGTGATGATGAGAACCAAACCTGATCAGCCACACTAATTTATGCAGGCATGTGAAAGTGCAGGAATGTTTATTCCAGCAAGACTATCTTGATTTGGAACTTGACTGGCAAACCAAGGGAACAGGGGTAAGCTAGGAAGCAAAATATACTAAGACACACACCTGACAAAGCAAACATGGAGACAGTGACAAGAAACAAATCCTCCCAGTCACAACAGCGGCTGGGCTATCAAGCATCTACAGCCACCACTCCGAGGAAAACTCACCAGTTTGCAACTGGTCAGTCTGCAAACTCAGGGGCCCTGAATTGTGTGGAGTGAGGGAATCTAAAAAGCTGTGGAGGGACAAGCCAGAAATGCAGAGCAGAAAGGAACAGAAACAAAGCAGATAGAAAGGGTAAAAAGGGGTCCAGTTGCCTGTAAAATCAAGTAGGTCAGTACACTCATCTGGCTGAGTTCTGCTCCTGATGGCCACAGTCTGTCTTACCTTCTTACATCTTCTTATTAAAACTTCTCTCACCTTCTGCTCTGCACAATCTTACTGTCTTGTGCGTGTGTGTGCTGCAAGGACTCAGTGCCAGGTACTGAGGAGGTCTTGCATGTGTGTGTGTGTACGGAATGCAGTGCCAGCCATGGGAGTCAGACCGAGGATGTGGGTGCTCCTGGGCTGTGGTGCCAGAGAACTGGAGTGACTGGGGGGATCCCAGCATAAACTACTGGAGCAGAAGGGGCCCCTCCAGTCAAATAAATTTGATTTATTCCCCAATCCAGCTGCTGTTACAGACCGCTCTCCCAAAAATGAACCAATCTACTTCCCTGTCTACAGGGAGCACTCAGTGACAACACCGTGTTTCTTTTCTTTCTGGTATCACTCCATTCAAGGATCAGTTCCACCTACATCACTAGCAGAGTCAGAAAAAATCCTTCTGGTGGCTCTTTCTACCGCTGAAAATGCAAACTTCTTTTCTACTCCTCCAAAGAAAGATTAAGCTGAACTTGAAAAGTTTTACAAATAGACACAAAAATCCAAACGAAAAGAAACCAAAACCTCATAAACAGATCTTGAATGTTGCAAAGTAAAACACTAAAATTAGAACGTGTCATAATTAATGCCATTTTAACCCATGTAGAGTATAGCAGGTGTCCCATGACATCATCACATACTATTTTCTAACAACAGTATTTTTGTTACAGTCCAGGTAGATCCTCTGTGTTCTGGAAACAAAATGAGGTCTTTTTTTTAAAGTTAAAAAAACTTGCATGTTTCCTGCCTCACGTATTACATAAGCAGACAGTGGATATTATCAAGGCAAAGAATTAACTCAGAGAAGGAACACTCTTATGAAACCTGCTTTGGAAATTTCAATTTTTATCCCTGTATTGGATCTACCACTTCCCATGGATACGTAAAAAGTTCTTTTTTTCCAAAAGCAGTAAAACCAGCTTCCTAGTTTTAAACTTTCCTTTAATTTAAGGGAAATCATCCTTTGAATTCAAAACAAGCTGCATGAAGGTAATTATAATTTTAAAAGAAAATCATTAGCAGGTATCAGCTAATTTCTGTTTAAAAAAAAATATATTATTAGATGTTTTTAATATTAATTCTGGGCCTCAGCTAGCAGTCTGCAGAATAGGGAGAGTAAGAGCTATTTCAACTGAAATTTGCTGCAAATATGATTTCATTGATCATGAGGAAATATTTGTAGGCCAGACACTGACAAATTATTAAAACCACTTTTATTAATCAAACCTTATTAAACAATTAAAACACCAATTCAGCCCTCACCTGAGAAACTTGAGAAACTACATTAACCTGTCTAGAACTTAGGGAGCCATGCTGTTACATTCATAAGCAATCAGTTAAATACAAGTGCTTAAAAAACGGAACCAAATTATAATATGGAGAAAACTGAAAACACAAGAATAATTTGGAGAAAACTAGAAAAATCTCCATCAGCCACAAAGCACATATCATAATATTACCCCTACCCAACCACTCATCCCCACTCCTCTTATCTGTGTAGCCTTAATATAGTCTATCAGGCTGGGAGGACTCCAGCAGATTACTACACTGTAAATGTTGGCTCTTTGGGTTATGCTTTGGGCTAAATCCTTGAACAGTTAAATTTTTATTGCCTTCATCCTTCTCCAGTGAATCAAGATTAAGCAAGTTAAGCAAGGTGAAGGAGAGGAAAATAGGGCACTGGTCAAGCATTCAATCTCACAGAAGAAGCACCTGGGACCTTCCAGAGCAGTGATCCCTTCTGATAAGCCACTTGCTGAAAAGCTGACACCTCCTGAGCTGAGTCCTGATGATCCTGCTTCTGCCTTCCACTTCTCCACAATGTGCATACTATCCCTGCAAAATTAACTCATGCACATTTATTAAGTTTCTGCACTCATCACCTCCCACCCTCACATTAATTGTTTGGAGAAAATACACTTCACTAACCAACCTTCATATCACAAACCATCCACTTTTCAGGAACACATTCTGAGCAGACTGATGTTGCTACATTCCTTTTTTCTTATCAGGCACAGCATATATTGCAGTACAATCCACAGCTGAAAGAGATTTCCTGTTCAGCCTTTTGAGTTGAAAGAACTCTTATTTTCCCTCTTTTCTAGATGGACAGCTGAGGTCCAGAATTACTATTAAAACCATTTAATAGTATTTTGGAGGTTTTAACTGAAATTAACTGATACCTGCAAATGGATTTATTTTTTTCATAATAATTACTATCATATAGCTTCACTACAGATCTTTTCGAACAGGAAAGTCAAAACTCCCACCAAATAGTTCCACTTCTTCAGTACCAAGAGACTCATATTTATACCAATGGACCGTAGATCAGGCCCTTTAGCATTTGCCCAGTCATTTCTCCAGGGGGACTGCTTGGAAATTAAACAGGGAAATGCTTGGGAAAAATACAAGTTAGATTGTCCCAAAGTCCTGGTTGAAAACTCCAAAGGATATTATTATAGAATGCTGCAGTGACAATTCAAGAAACCTTGTTAGATAATATTGATTTCTGCTTGCCCTATTAACAGCTTTGGCTACCTAAGACAAGCCATATATGCTTTTTTTTGTTTTTAAGCTAAGATGTGTGAAAAGCCTAATCTAGTATAATGCATCGTACATGAACTATTTGACAACACATTCCTTTCACATATCCAGTGTCTTGCTTCATTTCCTTTCCCATGAGTGACTTAAATCAGAGCTGCCTTTTAAACTTCACCCAGCATGTCAATACTTTGAAAAACAGAGCCTTCAAAAACCTGGTAAAATTAAGAGGTAAGAATGAAGTACAAGCCCAAATGAAGAACTAGCAAACCTTCTATGATATCGTTACTGTTTACTGAATCTAAAAAGCATTAAAATAGATAATTTTTGTGTGTAATCTAAATCCAACACTAAAATGGGATCAATCCAGATTTTCTAACAAATCTATATAATTAAACATAAAATAATTAATTTTACATTATTTTTAATAAATCTGTTAACCTAAGTAACTAAGAGTTATCGAGATCTTTTTCATATAGCTCCCTCAGCACAGTTTATTAACTCAAATAAAAAGATTTAAAAGGTATCTCGAATCAGACAGGAGCACTGTTGTATCACTTTTTGCAGGCACTCCAACTCTTGTTATGTCCACACACTGCAGTGCTCCCAATGGCATTTAGGTACATTCTTTACAGCACATGCAATTTTTTTCTAAAGGCTCCAGCACAAAATGAATAGGGCATCAGGGCATTCAGATATTACTCCCTGACTATTGTCTGCAGTAATCAGCAAGCATTTTGAAAAGTCTGTCATTAGTCACTATCAATATGGAGCCACCAGAGCCTCTTTCAGGATCAGAGTAAATTAGTGGAGCATCTTCCATTTCCATTCTCACACTGTCAACCTCATTGAGACTCCTGAAGCCTTACAAATACAACTTTCAACCATGTTTCCCACGACTAAAGAGCTAACGCAGTCAAGTCAAATAAATACTGGCTACTAACAGGCTTTATTTACTACAAAATTCAAGAACTATGGCACAGCCAAGTTCAGCACCACTCGGACTTTCTGAGTAAGCTTTACTTAGATCTTGAATACACCAAAGGAAAAAACCACCTTTTAAAGCAAGTTACAATTGCCTACTTTAATTCTAAAGAAACATTAAATTGTTCTTAGAAAATTCAGCTCAGTGATTAAATAGAGTTCCATATATTCACAAGAATTTCTAACATTTTATCCAGCAAAATAACTAATAAAATAATAACATTTTCAAACTCACTAGTTGGTATGTTACAATCATTTAAAATTCCCATTCAATTTATTATAGTTGCTGATATTTAAAACAAGGGGTACTAAGTTGTTTTTGCAAGGATGCACTGGGAGATAGCGCAAATTCCAGCAAAGGTACTTAAATTCATGCAAGTTGGGAACAGCTAACATGATGTCAGGACACAGAGAATGTACCCTCCTATAAGCAAGAAAAGAAATGCTTTATTATATATTCCTGATTATGCATTACTAGCCTTCTGCAATACTCCTCATGATTCAAAAATGACACTGCCGTTGGGTAATACGTTATATAGGTATTATATACAGATACATATTTTTTAAATACGTGTGTGTATATATATATATCAAGCTACAGCTCCAAACTAGATGGATTCAAGCCTTTTGAGAGCTGCATTTAAAAACAAGGTATTGAGCAATCATGTCATTATTTGAAAACAATAGTGAATATTTTTTAAATAAAACATTAAACAACGATTTTTATGAGTTAGTTATTCATGTCTAATACAAACTCAAGTGGCAAACCTGAGAATGTAATACTGATGGAAGAACTGGATTTACCTTAACCTTTGTATTCCAGCCTTAACTGACTGGAATAACTTCAAGTTGTTTTGCAGGATTTTGCTGTTCAGTGTGACAGTCTGACTTTTCAAAAACTATCCTTTGGTTGGTTGGTTTTGTTTTTTTTAAGTACTCTCCAGACGCAAACGATTGGAACAACAGTCCCATGTTCATTTTTACAGGACCGGTATAGCCTTGGTTTTGCCATGCTTTTCTAAGGCTGACAGGACACACTGATCATGAAACTGCCTCCTGGCTCATTACATCATTTCGATTTCCCTGCTAACTCCTCTCCCCTGCCATATCTCATTCGCTCCACTGCTCTCACAAGGACTTGTGCAACCTACTGCCACCTACATTCTCCTTCTGCTACGAAGCAATGCCAAAAAATCAGCCCGACCGCTCCACTACCACATCCCTGTCCAGCAGACAAAATGGCAGTTTGTCCTTTAACCCCGATGGAGCGGCTGGCGATTCCCCCGCGGGAACACGGCGCCAGCCAAGCCCTGCGGCCGCCGCAAAACCCGGGCGCTGCAGCCTCAGGCTCTGTCCCAGGTTAGGCCCGGCTCAGCCCCAGGCTCAGCCCTCGTACAGGGCGGTGCTTCCCCCGCAGCGCCGCCGGGCTCGGCGGGGCGGGGCGGCCGCGGGACGCGGCCCCAGGACGGTGGAACCGCGGTAGGAGCCCGCGGAGGCCTCATGGTAACGGGCCCCGCTGTGGGGCCGGGGGGTCGCGGGGTCGCTGAGGGTCGGGGGGCGGTGGCAGGTCCGTTTCCTTGGGAACGGCGTGGAGCGGGCGCTGTGGAAATGGAAGCTGTCGCTGCTTGTCGCAGCAGCAGTGGGTGCGTGTTGTTTATGTGTGTATTTGTGCATGTTCGGTCGAGAAACAACATGTTTTTCACTTTCAAAGCAGCTTCATTTTCGTGGAGAAATTTTCCTGTCCTTTAAGCCTCTTTAGAACTGATTTTGATTGTTGAGGTAAATTTCACTGTATTCAGAGATTTGTTTTGGAATAACACTGTTTACAGTAATGACAAGAATTTTACTGTTGTGTCAGTATTTTTTTGTGATCATATGGGTGGTCTGTATAGCATTAATTCTTTTACTTAAATCCTTTTCATAACAGTGAGTATATTCTCCAGCATTTTTAGTTGACACAATGACAGACTTTGAGAAGAACCTCAGCCAGGACATGATTTCTCAGCTGCACAACTTTGCTGCCGTGGGAGATGCAGCCAGACTGAAAGCACTGCTCAGTCGTTCCCCGTCACTTGTCAACGCAGTTGCAGGGAATGGCTGGACAGCCCTGATGTTCGGTGCCAGGAATGGACACCTCGAGGTTGTGCGGGTTCTTCTTGAACAAGGGTAAGCTGCTTAATAGACCCCATTCAAGAGCTCTAATTTGCATCCCTTTTTGCCCATTTCAATTTTATTTCAGAAAAGTAAGTTTACTGATGGATAGTGGCAGAATTTTCATGGTTAAAACTCAGGAAGGTGTACTCTGTGTCAGTCTGTAACTGGATTCTTTCCGTATTTGCTAAGAAACTCTAAAAGTTGTGAGCATCTCTAAAATTATTCTTTTGATCTTCTAAGATATCACTCCTCTCAGAGACCAACAGAATAGAACAAAGTTTGCATCCCATTCCAACCACTATACTGAATATAAATTCGGTGTGTTTGATTGTTCCATTTAGATTTTTTCTCTAAACTTTATTTGTAATCCACTTACATTTATGTTATAGTGCTGAATTTTTGTTGACATACTGGCTCTTAAGTCAGACATGACAGACACACCTTTACAAAGTTACCGTTTGATAAATTTTAGTTGTATCTTAGCATTTGGACAATAAACATTCTCCTTCTTGCTTGACATGTCATTTTTACTTTCTTAAGTTGGTATGACACCAGGCGTTTTCATTGCTTGTCAAAAACTTGCTGTTTTGTAGTCATCTGTTGTAGTTCTTGTGCTTCAAGACACCCAAAGATGCAAAGAGTGCTTCAGTGTTCTTCTTGAGACTCCAAAGAAAATTCATCTCAAAATGAAGGGTTAGAGTCAGATGTGATTCAGCTGAGCTCTACATTAATCAAGCCTGTTTGATTAATGTGGTTCCTTTCTGCACTCCTAATTACACAACCAAGCAAATTTAGTTCATTCTATAACTTCAGGCATAGCATTCCACAGCCTCCAGTCATCATGCCACCCTTTTTTCTTATTTTTTTCAGTCTTACCCAAATCCTGTGGCTTCTGCTGAAGCTCAGCATGAAGCATTAGATGAACCAGTAGTTTATACTGGAATCAGTACATTCCAGTGTGTAGAGGAATATTTTGGTGACAGATTTTGTGTTTTGAGGAATATTCTGGGATTTGGGGGAATTTACGACCTGGTAAATAGGATGACAATTTTTTAAGTTATGCTTACTGTAAAAAAAGTGAATGTCACTTTTAAATGCTCTTCTCAGGGTTGTTCTCTTAGGCAACTGAGTATAGTTCCTGAGATGGTGCTGTGGCCTCATTGGTCTTGTTTTAGTTAACGCTTAGTCATAATAATTATTTTAACAAATAAAATTGCTGGTTATATAAGCATGAATGTCTATGAAAGTAATATTTCATAACATTACAGAGAATAATCCTGGAAAGCCCATCATAGAATTTTATCATAGAATTGTAGAATCACAGAATGTGCTGTGTTGGAAGGAACCCACAAGGATCATCAAAGTCCAACACCTGGCTCTCCATGGGACAACCCAGGAATCACACCATGTGCCTGAGAACATTGTCCAGACACTTCTTGAACTCTGTCAGGCTTAGGCACTTCCCTGGGGAGCCTTTTTCATAGTCCAGCTACCCTCTGGGTGAAGAATCTTTACCTGGTATCCAACCTAAACCTTTCCTGACGCGACTTGAGCCCGTTCCCTCAGGTCTTGTCACTGATCACCAGAGACAAGAGATCACTGCCTGCCCTTCCCCTCATGAGGAAGCTGCAGACCAAGGTGAGGTCTCGCCTCGATCTCCTCTTTTCTAGATTGAACAAGCTTCCCCTCTAGATCCTTCATCATCAACTTCATGGCCCTAGTTTGAACACACTCTAATAAGCGTTAGATCCTTCTTATGTTGTGGTGCCCAAAACTGCACACAGTACTTCATGTGAGGCCACACCAGCAAAGAGTAGAGAAGCACAATCACCTCCCTTGAGCTGCCTGATGCACCTGTGTTTGTCCGTGTTTGAGAAAAGCTACAGGAAATGTTTGCAGACTGGAAAAAAAGATCTTGGTAGTCTAAAGAGTTCAGGTCACTGTTGTGGACACTGAAGAACAACTTCATCACGATCTGCACATACCTGAGCAGATAGAAGGGGGAAGACAAATCAGAACAAAATTCAGTTGACTGAGAGATAGGAAATTAAGTAGGAAAATAAGCATTATTTTGCCTAAAGGAAACCATGTCTTTAAAGATGCATGAGCAGTAGTAGTTTCTTTAGCACAAAAAACTTTTTAAATTAAATTTTGAATCCTTTTCTGAACTATACCAAATTCCCTCAAAACCTACTGAAGTTAAACTAAAATCTCAAAATGGTCTTGCCTGTGGGACAGTTACTTGTGTATCAGCAACATTATTATACTGGCATTTTGTGTTTTTAAAAAATGATGAATTTGGCCCTGATCTACTGCATAATTTTGACATTTCTGTTTTATTTACGCGTTTGAGTTAAGATTGGTAAAAAATTAAAGTGTGTTATTTTGACTTCCCAATCAAACCCAATCTATTTCAGGTTTGGGTTTCTTTTGAGATTTAATATTCAAATATATATCACAAGGCAGTGTTTCCTCATCTGTGTCATTTTACAGACTTTTAGGTAACAGAAAGATCCTTACAGGGATCAGCACCGCTGTTGTAATGGTGCTACTTTTGTCATTAAGTAGGGGCTGTATTCTTGATTATAATTTTACGGTAAATCATGGTAGCATACAATATCCTGAGTTGAAAGGGACCCACAAGGATCAACTCCTGGCCCTGCATAGGACACCCCAAGAACCTCACCATATGCCTGAGAGTGTTGTGCAAACACATTTTGAACTCAGACAGGCTTGGTGCTGTGACGACTTCCCTGGTGACACTGTTCAGTGTCCAGCCACCCTCTGAGTTTCCTAACATCTGACTTAAACCCCCGTGACTCAGCTTCATGCCATTTTCTCAGGTCCTGTTCACCAGAGAGAACAAATCAGTGCCTACCCCTCCACTTCCCCTCATGAGGAAGTTGTAGACTCCAATGAGATCTCCCCTCAGTCTCCTCCAGCTGAACAGACAAAGTGACCTCAATAAAATATTTTATTGTAAATGTTTAATGCTAATTTGAGTAGCTCCTAGAAAGTAATGCTTGTTAAACTTTTATAAATGTTTTATTTTTCATTTTTGTTACTGGTTGTGAGGAACAGACCCATAGCCTGACTTTCAAAGTTCTATCTTGACCTTTTTTTTTCCTCATCTGTGGGACTTTATAATCCATTGCTGTTGTAGTACTGCATGAAGCTCAGTGAATAATAATCTGGAGTGGATCAACAAAAATGAGAAATCTGGCCTTAGCAAAAGGAAATGAAGTACAATTACTTTTCATTACCATAATGCTAAATATTTAGCATTATGTGCTAAAATAAGGAGTGCCCCAGTATAGACACTGTCTAGAATTTCTTGCACCTTAATAGTATCAGATATGGTGTAAGTAAGAATAACACAGCACCAGGACTCTTCCTGAACATATTTACCCTGGTAACCACAGTTCTTTTCTGGTTTTTTAGGTGTGACAGATCCATCATTAATAAATCAAGGCAGACAGCTCTGGACATCGCAAAATTTTGGGGGTACAAACACATAGCTAATTTGTTGGCTAACGTCAAGGGTGATCAGAAGCCTAGTTTTTTGTCAAATGATGTGAAAGAATATGAAAATTATTTTGGCATGACACTTCTGGACAGGAGGAGTGATAAAAGAACAGATTCCAAGTGGCTGAGTAAAAAACAAAGCCATCCAACTACAGTATACATCCTCTTTTCAAATCTAAGTCCCCTAGTTACTTTGGGTGGGGGAATAGATAGTTCCCAGCAGCCAGAAGTAAAGCTTTGCAGGCTGTACCACAAGGATGTGGAGCAGTGCCTGAACAAAACTGAAGCGTGTACCTTGATTTTTCTTGGAGTTGAACTTCTTCAGAACCTGGCAGCTGCTTGCAATGGGAGGGTTCTGCAAGAAGATGAAGAGGACGGGTTAGTTGCTTGGTTTGCTCTTAGCATAGATTCTGCTTCTGCTGAGAAATTTAAACAGAAGCATGAGGACTGTTACTTTCTTCACCCACCAATGCCAGCACTGCTGCAGCTACCTGAAAAAGAAGCTGGTAAGATGCATGAAATGCAGCATGTACCAAATGTGTGATTTGAAGGTTTAGGTTTCAGTGAGGTACAATGCAAGGACAAACCACTGCAAAGGAATTGGGTATTTTCAATGGCTTTAGAAATATTTTGATTTTAAAAGCCAGTTAGTGATTTTGTTAAGAGTTTTATATGTAAAAACGTGTGCTGTTGCAAAGGGCTAACTTCTGCAGTGGCAATATTAGTCTGTAAAGCCTATTGA